AAATCTCATCCACTAATCAATTCATCCACTAATCATTTACATCCACTAATCAATTCATTTCAACAGTGCTTTAACATCAAACAGTTCAGTGTCTGGTAATGAATTTGTTTAGCTGTGCTAGCTTAATCGATTGATAACAATTCAGAACTTTTAATATACCTTCTGAACTAGCTGCATAAAATGAACAGCAACTACCTGGGAAAAGCTTTTAAGTCACTCTGTTTCTGGGAGATTTGGACTGTTGTACTTGTGACAAAATTAATGCTTCAAAAGAACTCAAGCAGGTTCACATAAATTTCACAAATGAATCATGAATTCATTGGGTAAAATGGACATTGTTTATTATGTTCTGGAATGGTAAGCATAAATAGTATGTTATATATAAATCTTTGAATAAAATAGATTTCAGGATCCAGTGCGCCCTTATATCTTCTTCTCAGTGTTATATTGATACTGCAGATTTTATGTATGTTGTCGCTTTTGTTTTTCTCTATAACAAAAAAACAAACAAAAAAATCAAAAAGAAAAAAAATGTATCACTACCACTATTGCATGGTTTGTTTTAACAAGCCCCAGACATAAGAAAGAGCTTCCTCCGCCATATGAGAATCAAAATTATTTTAGAAGTTCAGAGTGCTTACCTTGACCTTTGGCCTGTACTTCAGGTAAAGTGTCCTTGAATATAAGCTAGAAACAGGGGAAGTAAAAATGGGACAAGATTTTAAAAAGCATTTTGGGTAACTTGCTTTACCATCCAACACAATAAAGCAGTCACAAGAACTTGGCAGGACACCATGCATAGTTGGTGGGTCACAAGAAGTTATCTACCATATATACTAATGTATAGATTGACCTCATTGAGGGAAGGCTTTGGAACCAAAATTATGGATTTTGACCTGTGGATAAGTCAAGGGTAAAACCTAGGAGCATGTAACAAAAGAAGGAAAGTGCAAAGCAAAGAACTTACAAAATTCTGTCAGGTATAATTGTTTGTGCTCACTCTAAAGGCTGGATGGATGATGAGAGAACTACAATAAATGCTGGCTGTGAGATGTGCAAGGGAGCCAACCAGGTGCAGAAAAGGCAAATAAAATAAAATAAAATAAAATAAAAGCACATATGTCAAAAAGAACGAAAAGAGAAAATGGTGATTGCATTATCAGCGGTTACAGCCATTAGTTTTAACGCAGGGGTAGGCAACCTTTCCCCTTTAAGGGCCGAGGGACTTCAGCTCCCAGAAGCCTCAGCCATGTTGGCCAATAGTCCCATGTTGGCCAATAGCTCCTGGGATTCTGAGAGCTGAAGTCCCTCGGCCCTTAAAAGGGAAAGGTTGCCTACCCCTGTTTTAATGTGATAACTTTCTCTGATTTTAACCCAGAAAATTTGACAAACACAAGGTGTCATTGTCAAATCGTTCAAAACCTGGGTCCTCATCGCTGGAATAACATTGCAGGAATCCACTTCTCTGACTAGAGTCATTAAAGGCAAGAGCTTAGTCTGCCTCAGGAGAACCTAAAAGAACCACTGACCCCCCTCTACTCTCTTGGCAATCCTTTGAGGGGAAGTGCCAAAGAACTGCCACTGGCACCATTTTCCTGCCCAGGCATTCAAAAAGGCCAGAAGGCCAAGGTGAGAGAGTAGAGGAGGTTGGTGCTTCTTTTAGGTTGTTCCAGGATGGACTAAGCTCCTGCCTTTCGCCACTGTACTCAGAGAAGGGGATGGTTCCTTTTTTGATCAGAGTTAAGGTACACAACTTACACTGATCCATGGATAAGCCAATCCATGTTTTTTGGGTTCATATTTTGACTAAAATTGCTAGACTTATACATGAGTATATAGAGTAGTCTGCAGATCCAGCATTTAGCTGCACGCTGGGCAGCTAACTTCCAGCCTTATACAGTGGCCCCTCCATATTCACTGAGGCTAGGGACACAGGACCCCTGTGAAAGTGGAAAAACCACAAATGAAAGAACATTACTTTTTTTACCTGAGGCACTCTAGAATGCAACTTCAAATCCTGTTATCATGTACTTTAATGTCATTTCCATATAATGATGACCATAAAGGGGGGGGGGGGGACACTCCATAATGGAGTTTTCTTAGCAAGATTTCTTCAGACAGGGCTTGACTTGCTCAAGTTCGCCAAGTGGGTTTCTGTAGCTGAGCATGGACTTGAACCTGGTCCTCTGGAGTCCTAGTCCAGCACTGAAACCACTTCACCACATTGGCTCAACAAAACTTTGCACCAAGCAAATATATCTAAAGTTTAGAAGGAAAAAAACCCTAGATACCTGGCACAACATAGGTCGGGAACCACTCTGCACAAACAAGAAGGGGAGATGATCATACCTGAACAGGATATGAAGGTAGGAGCCGAGGCCTGTAAAGATGTGCCACCAAGCATGAAACTGTGTCACGACACTCACAAGTGGAGGTAGCCTCGCACGTAACCCCCTGTGGAAAGAGGAAAAAACAAGAACACAGTTGCACAGGATTCATTTATGCCATCTTTCCCCAATGTAGTGCCCTCTAGATTATTAGACTACAATGCCCATAATCTTCCCACAGCAGTATGGGGATTATGGAAGGTGTAGTCCAATACAATTTGGAGGTATTAGGCTGAGGGAAAGCTGCACAAGGCCAGCAAATTATAAGGCTGAAAATTACTTTTTCTAGCTATGAAGTACAGGCAATATGAATTTCACTACCAAGAAAGAAAAGGGAAAAAAGGAGCATAAAGTGAAGATAGTACATAGTATGTGAAAGTGAGCTAGGCATATATATTAATATAAAACGACTATATTTCTAAACTTTTCTTGAAGTTGGTGTTTATAAAATATACTTTTTCTGTTCTAGACAGTGTGCCAAAACAGCCATTTCAACTCTTAAGAATGAAGTCCAAGCGCCACAAGACAGAGATGTCAAACTCATGGAATTACAACATGGAATTACAACAATTAAATCAAGATACAGTACCTACTATATAATGTAAAACAAAAACAAATCAAGGTTTATATCCAGGACTAATCTATTATGTGTTGTTGTTTTTGTTGTATGCCTTCAAGTCATTTCTGACTTATGGTGACCCTAAGGCGAGCGTATCATGGGGTTTTCTTGGCAAGATTTGTTCAGAAGGGGTTTGCCATTGCCTTCCCTTTAGGCTGATAGCATGTGATTTGCCCAAGTCACCCACTGGGTTTTATTGCTGAGCTGAGAATCTAACCCTGGTCTCCAGAGTTGTAGCCCAACACTCAAACCACTGTGCCATGATGGGTCTCTCTTTATAGAATAGATCAAAGACAGGAAATGGCAGAACCCCCTAGTGTTCACATACAGCTTCCAACTGAGACAAATAAACAATGAACTGCAACCTATTCTGGACAATAATGCTACCCTCTCAACAGTTCAACAGCAAGGAAGAGCTTTACTTGCACACAGACAGCTGCCCAACTGCAGTGACTTATTTACAGGAGGGCCCACCACACGGATAGCAAGATGGGTACAAGACCTTGCCACAAACCAGATGCCAACTCTGCCCACACATCTACTCAGGAAATGTGATGACAGGACCTAAACACTTCATCCACAATATTAGAGGTACTTTCATTTGCTCATCCTCTAATGTGATATACGCCCTCCTCCATCAACAATACTCTACAGCCATCTGCATTGGTCAAAATGACCAGTCTCTGTGCCAGAAGATAAATGGACATAAATCAGATATTATAAATGGGAATACACAAACACCAGTAGAAGAAGGCTTCAGTCTTCCTGGGCATTTCATTTCATACTTAAGAACAGCAGTCCTGAAACTAAAAAAACTTTAAGGGGAGACTAGAAAGAGAAACAGCAAAGTTGGGGTATAACCACAAACTCCAGTCTACTGACAGCAGCTGAATAGGGACAATGCTTTCCTGGCACAATACACATATTAGAAGACTAGCTAATATTCCAGCCTCATGAGGGCTATTTTGTCTATTTTACCACATCTCCCTTCTGGTTCCCAAGCAGCAACATACTGTATTCCAAGACTCCACTATATGGGTAACTTGGCTTTAGGCAATATCTTTCCTCCTAAACCTGTCCTGCAACAACCACTGTTAAAACTAAACTTGTCAATGCACCACTGTGTGTGTGTGTGTGTGTGTGTCTTTCTGTCTGTCTGTGTCTCTGTGTTGCATACCTTCATATCATTTCTAACTTATAGCTACCCTAAGGGAAACTATCACACAGTTTTCTTGGCAAGATTTGTTTAGAGGAAGCTTGCCACTGCCTTCCCCTGAGGCTGAGAGCATGTGACTTGCCCAAGTGGGTTTCATGGCAGAGTGGGAATTGAACCCTGGTCCCCAGAGTCATAGTCCAATGCTTAAACCATTATGCTACACTGCATCATACCACCATACCCATAGGCTTTGCATTTCCATTACTGTTCACACACACAACTTTGCTCGTCCATAGATATTTCAGTCCATGCTTCTAATGAAGTAGCTCAGTGTATGAAAACTTTTTTCTCTGTTAGTTTCAAATGAAGCCACAATATATCTTTGCATATAGCTCCTGGCTACCATGGCTATGTCTTTGAATTCTATCACTGAAGGCAAAGCTCTGTGATCAAAAGGCGGTCTTCAGCTAGCTGCACGTTTAGTGGGAAAGTGAACACACTTTTCAGAAAAGGGAGCAGTAAAGCTGCTGGGTGGCTCCTTAACTCACTCAGATTACTTTTCCGCATGTAATATTAAGTTATACTGAGAAATCTCAGCCTTCATGAAGCTAGAGAAGCATAGCTGTCAAGCAACTACAGGTTAAGTCAAAGACTTTCATGGCCGGCATCCATCGTTTTTTGTGGGATTTCCGGGCTGTGTGGCCATGTTCTAGAAGAGTTTCTTTCTGACATTTCACCAGCATCTGTGGCTGGCATCTTCAGAGAAATCAGCCATAGATGCTGGCGAAACATCAGAAAGAAACTCTTCTAGAACATGGCCACACAGCCCGAAAACCCCACAAAAAATGATGAACTACAGGTTAATCTGATATTGAAGGAATCTGTCTGGCCCTAAAGGCAGTTTATCCCTGGTGGCTACAAAGAAAACAATGGATGAAGCCTTGGCCTGAATCAGATCCAACACATCATAGAGCACCATTAGCAGTCAGCCAGCTAAGCTTGTCCATGCAGTTTGGGATTTGCTGATGAAGGTGTTCTGCTCATTTACCCCTTGGGCTATGCAAGAATGTGAATTTCAGCTCACTTCATCAGAAGCCTGGTAGAAATTTCTTTTTTTCAGTCTCAAAGATGCTACAGGATTCCTAAATAGTAAGACTGCCATATCAGTGGGGGATACATTTCTGGACTTACCATGGAAACGTGAAACCATGCATGATAGCCTATTGAAATGATTGATTACTGGCAGAAGTTGACCACAGAGTTGCACTGGAGAATCCAGGGATTCCTAGAGAGAACAACCTCTAAGCATTTCTAAGTCTTCCAATGTGACTTTATGGTCAACCTCCACTGAAAGCATGCAATAGAATTGTGCTGGAAGACCTAGAAAATGCCTAGAGAGAATACATTTTTTCAGATGTGGGTAAGTGGGATAAGAAGGATGTACTGTATATATTTTTATGATGATACAGACTAACAAAGTTATGTGCTAAAGTGCTACTCTATCATATTAAGTAAGTAAGGAAGGAAGAATATCTGGTCCTCACTATCTTGTTGTAACCCGCCCCGATTGCAGAGCAGAGGGGCGGGCTAGAAATAAAAAATTATTATTATTATTATTATTATTATTATTATTATTATTATTATTATTATTATTATTATTACCTGTTATGAGACATTTCTTTCAGAGGTGATTATTTAATTGCTGTTGGTGGACAATGTTTGAGGAGTGATAATTTCTACCCTACTAAAGGTATTAAATGCAGGCTCACTGATGATAACATGGCAATCAATTAATACCTCTCATCTGTTAGGCTCACTAGTTGGTCTAGCACTGATCATGGTAAATTATCTTCATAATGTCAGAACTTGCTTCCAATTTATCAGCTCATTCCCCTACTACAGTAATTGTGTTAGCTTTTTTGACTTCGGTAGCAGCATTCTGCCCTGTGGCACATTACAACTCTACTTCACTCCTGTTTGACACGTACCATCAATCCAAATGGAGAAATGTAGCTACACTATTGACTATTCAACTAGAAATAAGGCTTGGGCGTCAATGGTTACAGAAGCAAAAGGACTTAAGGATAGCAGGAGGCTTACCTATTTGATCTAAAGGTTTGAGATTCAACAGTCACTGTTGCAGGGGAGGATAATACATATATAAGGTCATTCACATACCTCAGTTTATCGCAGAAAATATTGTCTACATTCCAAAGGAAAAAGCCCAGCAAAAAAACAGTCAGAGATGTATAACCCAGTCCTCTGAGCCATGGGTATACCCTAGAAAGAAAGGTAAGAGGCAGGATGAAATCTTAAGTACCTTAAATGATTTTCAGTCACAGGTTGTTCTATATTTATAGTCTTTGCTAATTCTGGGAGGATGGAGAAGAACACAATGGTGGTTATGTACAGAACCTGGAAAAGTTATTTGTTTGGACTAGCGTTCCCATAATGCCACTGGCCACGCTGGCTGGGAAGTCTGGCAGCTACAATCTACAAGAGTAATTTTTCTTACTTTCTGATCATACTAGAGGCTACTAGGAAGCCAGCTTATTTACTCTACAAAAAAACTAGTGTTTTAGCAGCTGGTTCAGTAGCTATTGGTTAAGTACCTTGTGTTGTGAACAACCAGTATGGTGTAGTGTCTGGAGCACTGAGCTGTGATGCTGAAGACCAGGGTTTGAATTCCTGCTCAGCCATGGAAACTCATTGGGTGAAAGGATCAAATCACACTCAGCCTCAGAGTAAGGGAAAAGCAACCCCACCCTGTATAATCTTGCAAAAGAAACCCTGTGATAGGTTTGCTTTAGGGTCGCCATAAGTTGGAAATGACTTGAAGGCACACAACAACATGTGCTAAGCTGAATACAGACCATATTGGGAACTGTGAAATGCCTGAAGTGACCTGCAGGTCTACACTGCTTCACATCCACTGTCATCTTCAAGCCAGGCAAGTCAAGGTCAAAGGCTTTATATGCATGTGTGTGGAAAGAAGTGAAGCTATTTTAAACATGTACTGGGTATAAGTGATCATTTTGCAGACTTGCATGGTGCATGCACAGAAGCCAAATTACAATGGATACAGAAAACCATTCACACAGATCAGGACACAGGAAAACTGATTTTAGTGTTCCTATTTCAATACTATTGAGCAGTGTGGAGTTCTGCTCCCACTACCATGTGTAGTGAAAATGCAGGATTACAAACAGTCTTGAGGTACCATCTCTCTTTTCTTCTCATGGATGCTGAAAGACAAGTGAGTTCAGATTCACCCATGTCATCATGCATCTCCTCCAATCATAATGCAGTTTCTGGCAATCTTCATTTACACCACTATACTTTGCTTAATCTAAAGTACGGATGGATAATAGGCAATCCCCAGCCATTTCTGTGGCCCCTATCCCTATGCAGGTTTTTGTAGTTTGTTGCCAGATTATGGCATCACGATTTGCTTTCAAACTTCAGCAACAGTGTGTGATGGCAGGGCTGGAAGTGGGCAACCCATGAAGGGTTCTGGAAGAGGGAGGACTAGCTCCCAGACCAGCCAAAGTTGTCATCTCCACTCAAAAGCAAGGGTGGGAACCCTTTGACTCTTAAAATTATTTTGGATTACAATTACCACCATTTCTTACCAGTGGCAATGCTGGGTGGAGATTTCTGGGATTTGTGGACCAAAACATCTGAAGGGCAAAAGGTTTCCCACCCTTGTTTTAAAGTGCCCTTGTGTGAGCAAGCTGAATTCAAATTCAGGGTGAAAATTACATCTGAGCAAACATACCCAGGATAGGGGTGGCCAAAATATGTAATATTAAAGCAGCAATGCTCTTTCCTCATAGAATTTAGAAATATACAGAGACATATTCATTTATTGGCCATATGGGACTGAGCTCATAATATAGGTCAACAGCACAGTGAGAAAGGAATTCCAGTGGTAACCACATCCTGACAGTAGCTTACCACTAAGACTTGTAAAATACTTTTTAAAAAAATGTTGTGGTGCAAACCACAGGAGTAACTATTGCCAACAAGGAAAATAGTACATGGTCACACAATTACTCCTCCCTGTTGCACTTCCTCTCCAGCAGTTTAATGAGGATTGGAAATGCTGCCTTAGCTTATGAGGTCTTTGGCAAAGACTCAGCAATCCTGGTTTCTGATGGGATGCAAGCCTAGGTTGCTGTTTCATTGTTACTTACCATAACACTATATAGACAGAGCGTAGCACTAGAACAGCCACTAATGTCCCATACATAACCTGTGGTGCAGAGAAAATAGAAAGTGTTAATTTTTATCTTCAGCAGATTGTGCAAAACATCATGCTCCTTTCCTCCAAGTTGATTCAATGGTATGCTTCCTTTTGTGAAAGGTATTCCACATCACCTTGACATATATATGGGCAGCTGGTGGCTCTCTTGTCAGTAAGGTAGTGAATTTGGTCAGGGTTTTAGCCTAAACTTCAAGTTACCCAAAATGCTGAGCCTACTGTGGGGGCACCTTATTTTGGCGACCTATTTTGGATAGCTCTTTACAAGTTTGGACTAAACAATGGATACCTTGCCCCACAGACATCGGAAGCCACCACTGAACACAGACAAGACTATGGTCCAAAATACACTGCAGAAATAATCCAGTTTGAGACCGCTTTAACTGCCCTGGCTCAGTGCTAGGGAATCCTGGGAACTGTAGTTTACTGTGGCCCTAGAGCTCTCTTGAAAGAGAAGGCTCAATTCCTCCTAAAACTACAGTTCCCAGAATTCCTACCATTGAGCCATGGCAGTTAAAGTGGTCCTGAATTGGATTACTTCTGCAGTGTGTTTCGTACCTATGTAAGATTTAGTTTAATGTTGCTTTGAAACCCCACAGCAGAACAAACTGAAAGAGAAGCCAAGCTTAGAAGAATAGAAAAAGATAAAATAAAATGTATCAATGCACATTCTTCTATGTGGCCTCTGAAACTATGTGTACCCAATGACCTGTCAGTCCCATTCACACATGTGATGAATTCTGCTTACTAAAGCTCATTAATGCAATAAACCCCAAAGTCTTCAAGTTCTTCTAAAGTCTATGGTGTCCTTGGAGCAGGCTGCTAAGATAATGCTTCAATAACGATAGGGCCAGATAAAATATTTTCCAATTACTCTTTTGTCTGTACTACTACTTCTATCTTTTTCCTTCAAAAGCAGCTGTTTATATGCTCTTTGATTTTGTGAACTCACTTTCAGCTTTT